GTAAATAAGATCGGAGAATTTCTACGGATATTTTATTCTTTTAGTTTTCACCATAATCACATTCAATCATTACCTGAAGAATTAAGATTTAACAGAAACTTCAAACAGGAAAACCGTGAACTTTTCACGCGCCTTTCTAGTATCTATATTAATATATATTAGAACCCTTGGTGTCAGTTGGACTTTAAATCAGCCCATCATAACCAGAGAGATTTTTTCAGTGGTTGATTTAAAATCCAAAAGACAACAACGTTTTTTATATATATATATATATATATATATATATATATATATATATATATATATATATATATATATATAAACAAACTGGCAGACAGACACTTTCTGGTTTCTGGTCATCGGATGTGATAAGGTAATTTGGTTTGTGGCACCCTCTCAACTTCATAGATCCAATGCATTTTCCTTACATTCAGTCTTGTCTTTCATACTAATCGAAGAAGCCGAGAGCAGCAACAATTCCCGGTGAAACGCGTCGTTTGTAGCTTTTCTCTTTTATCTCATTATCTTAATGTTTTTATTCGGATACCATTATGCATCCTACAAGCACACATGGTGCGTGCATACATGATTTCTCATTTATGGTGAATATTTTTTATTTAATACAAATATATATCTTTTTAATCGTTTCATCCCAAGTAACGAAGGAATGTCTCTAGTACAAGTAAAGAAGGAATGCCTCTAGTACGCGGAGGGCTACAGGGAGTGAAAATGAGACACAAATCCGAGAACAGGGAGGATTGAAGAAAGGACAAAAGATGAACGGGATTCAAGAAGATAGAAGATGGTGATTGACCTTGCATTTACATTTTTTAAAGATTTTATTTATCAGGAAAGCAAGTAAACGGAAGGGAGTTCCACGAGCGGGGAGTACGAGAAATTAAACGGTTAGAGTATAAACATAATACACCCACTACAGCGGCAAAGAACCTAAAAAGAAATCAAATGCCACGTACCAAATGTAGAAACGTTTGCAAGGTAAACCGCTTCTTGGTCATTACTATTACTATACCAAAACAAGCTGACCTAGACAAACTCCGTACCCATCAGTGGTTACATAGCGCAGGGTTAAAAGCTGAAAGTAAAGGTTTTATTTTTGCTGCACAGGATCAATGCTTGCTAACTAGAAATTACTAAGCACACATACTGAAAAATTGTGTTAACCTGAAATGCAAATTTTGTGATAAATATTCAGTAACGATCGATCATCTTCTATCAGGTTGCACAGTGTTAGCATCCACTGAATATAAAAACCCGGCATGATAGAGTGGACCATATCTGCATTGGAAAATATGTCACTTTTACGGGAAGAAAACTGCAAGGAACTGGTATGAATATCAACCAGATTTCGTTACAAAGATAGGACCTGTAGCGATTTTAATGGGACTTTATAATACACACAAACAGGGCAATGAAAGCTAATCGCCCTGACATCGTGATCAAAGACCACAAGAACAGAATGTGTTTTCTTATTGACCACAAAAAGAGAATGTGCTTTCTTATCACTGTGCATCTTGCACACTCAATAATAATAATGATAGTGTGCTTGACATACCCTTATACGACTGGCCGTCAGCATAGTTTTAATGGGCTTCGTATATTTGAAACCAAGCGCTATTTTGTTGGCATGAATCGCTCTCAGCCAATAATAATAATAATAATAATAACAACAAAAAGAAGAAGACTAAATGATGATCAAAAAACATGAAAGAAATAAGAAATTTTATTCAGTAATAAATGAAGTCAACAAATTTAAAAGTAAATTTCGAGTGGGTGAAGAAGTGTCAATAAACTATAATAGACCTAAAAAAAAAAAACAATGCAAGATCAAATGCAATGTACCAAATGCAGAAACGATGGAAAGATAAACCTTTTCATGGTCAATACTCTTCCCGTATTAAACAAGATGATGTACTCCAATCCCGTACCCATCAGTGGTTACATAGCGCAGGGTTAAAAGCTGAAACTGAATGTTTTATTCTAGCTGTACTTGACCAGTGCTTGCTAACTAGAAATTACCAAGCACACAAACTGAAAAATTGGGTTAACCCGAAATGCAGAATCTGTGATAAATATCCAGAAATAATTGACCACTCTGTACTTATATTTGTTGCACGGTATTAGCATCCACAGAATATAAAATTCGGCATGACAATGTGGGCCAATATCTGCGCTAGAAACTTTGCATCTTTTACGGAAAGTAAACTGTAAGAAACTGGTATGAACAAAACCCAGACTCGGTTACAGACATAAACTAAATCGTAAAGAAATTTATTTTTTATTGTAAATTGGCATAAAAAAACATAATTCAATAAAACACACTATTTTTAATAGAGTAAATTAAAAAAATTCACAACAAAATGAAGCAGTTTTTGTTTTTAATTATTTTTAATCAAGAAATGTATAAACCATACAGAAATTCATTTTAAAAACAATTTTAGAATTCCCATTTACTTTGTTAAAAATAAATTACATTAGGATTTAATTTATAAAAAAAATAAACCTTTAAAACAAAACACTGTTTCATATTTTGCATAAATCCTTTTCAAATGTCTTATTTGAAATATTCACTAATTACTTTTATTCGGTTGTAAAAAAAGTTAATTTTTTTCTGGTTCCGAGTTGTCTCGGTCTTGAGTTGTCTCAATACTGAATCCCGGCGCTCAGTCAGCAGTGTTGAGTCGGTGGTGTTGCGTTGGCGGTGCCGAGTTGACACCCCGGCAAAATACGATGAGTAAAAACTCTCACTTAGCTTTGCTAATATTAATAGTAATGGTAATATTAGCCGTTTCCTTATAAGGAAACATTCGGCATCCATTGACCAAGCAGCCAGTGCTACTCTCGGTTGAAATTCAGGAAATCTTTCTCTTCAAACAGTTCTTCAGGAAAATAGGTTTTTCAAATCCTCTATTATCGCTCTTTCTGCTAACAACGTAGGATTCCTTACTTAACATTTAGTTTGAAGTGCTGTATCCATTTTAGAAGGTATTATGTTTTTATTTTCTCGTCAGTTAAATGTGATTTCAGTTGTTATTGCTGTTGAAAGTCGATATGTTTCTGTTATTAGGTACAGTTCTTTACGATTCACTGGTACCAATTACCGAGATTCACTGAAATCCTATCGGGTTGATTCGCTAAAACCCATTGTTAATTATTGACCTGAGAAAGTGGTTGTGTACAGGGGACAGTTCAGATATTTCTGGACGGGTGGGTCGCCATACATGAAAATCATATATCTATGTCTCGATCTGACGATTCTATTTAAGAATTCTTGATTGTTTGATTTGTTTGTTTAACGGGATATCAACTCCTAATGGGTCATTTAATGTCGAAATTTAATTTTCTGAGGAGATTTGAAGTAACAAAAATATATGTTATTCTGCTTTCACAATTGAATACATGGTAGATGATACTCAGCTTTTGTGCACATACATGTTTAAGTGGACATAATTACTAGAGGTAGTGATATGTGTGTTTTATGTTGAAGTTTTGATCAAGTTCTATTTTGGAAAAAAGTTTGATTTCTTTAAGAAATTGTAGGATATTATATGGATTGATGTCATGAAAGAGTCATTTCATGTTGGTTGTTTGAATGGTTGGTTGATTTCGTTTTGCGGCATATCGATACCTCTATGGGTTATATAATGCTGAAATCTAAATATTTTAACACAATTTTATGACTTCAGCTAAATATATTTTGAATGCAACTGTATGCCTTCAACTACATATAAAATTTATTGTTGGTCATTTTACTATAAATAGGCATGGTTGGTCATTTTGTTTGTTTGAAAGGTTGGTTGATTTCGTTTTGCGGTATATCGATACCTCTATGGGTTATTTAATGCTGAAATCTGAATATTTTTAACACAATTATATGACTTCAGCTAAATATATTTTGAACGCAATTGTATGCCTTCAACTACATGTAGAATTTATTTTTACTATAAATAGTCATTGTTGGTCATTTTTCTTTCATATCAAAATGTATTGCTGTTATTTCTTACTATAAACATACATTCTTAGACTTTCATAGTGTTTTGTTTTGTTTAAGGGTTCACTATTTTTCACATAGTTGGGACTCTAACGAGTCCTACTATTCCGACTCAGGGTGCAGCTGGGAACAATAGCGATTAAATTGTGGTTCTACGCTAATCTAATGCTCAAATATCTTCATCAGATTCCGGATGTAGTTTATCACCTTATTAATTTTCATCCGGCATTTTTATTCATGGTACAGTAAACTGATCCTAGACCTTAAGTCAGCTCCATCCGTAAATAACTACTTTATTTTTAGAAGAAACAGGGAGCCCAATTCTAAACCGGTAACACGGGATAAACCTCTAATCCAGTTCAATGTACAGGGGAGGGTGTGCATTGGACAATAGGCAAAGTATGTAATACTACTGAGGGGAAAAAGTAGAATTATCTGATTAATGGTTCTGTTGAATCTATATATATGCAAAATAAAATCAAAATGGAGTTACACAGCTGAGAAGTGCGAGAAAAGAAATAATAGTAATAGAGATGGTTGCACCAAGCTAGTTGAACAGTAAAAGGGTGAGACCTATTTGCCTATCTAGTAGCCTGATTAAATTCCTGCATTTGAGCTATCTAGTGGGAAAGCTCATCAGAACTGTTTCTATGAAAATATTTGTAGAAAAGACAAAGGGAAGTGACTTAGATCGATATGCAAGGTCATGATCGATTATATTACAGACCCTTCTTTGAATGATGTTAAGAATCTCGAGATATAAAGTAGGAGAACCAGGTCAACGATTATTTTTAGATTAGCGTCTAAAAATTGTTCAAAATTTGTCAAAATATCACATATAACATTTTTAAAAAAATTATTGTCCTTTGTATTTGGTAATCAAGATTTTGGGAAACAAGCAGCCACTGCTTGCTGATGATTTTTTTTTCTTTTTTTTTTTTTTTTGGTTGTATTTTTTATGTTACAGCATGAAGAAAAGGTACTTTTAGGGTCACATTCTCCTGTAGCTCTTTACAGGTAATTGTGGCATATCAGTTATAATTTGCTGTGATGCATTCACCATCCGTTTCGACATTCGCTGAAAGAAATTAAAACGAAATTTAATATTTACTCATTGCTATTAAAGTGCGATCAATCAAAATAGATTTTATACACGTAAAAGATTCAATAATTTTTGTTTTCTATATAAAAAAAAAGACAAGAGATCTTTAGACACACACACATTTCAACAAAATCCGATCGCTTTAATCCGGCATTCCAATTTCTGGTAATTGTGATGTGTTTTTTTAATCACCCACCATTTGCGGCTGCAAAGACAACGCACTCACAGATTGTTTACAACTTTCCACAGCAACCGACAGTGTTTTAGTGATACAGTCTTGTTCATTTCATATATATATATATATATATATATATATATATATATAATTATTTATTGAAAAATATGATTCCAACACGCTATATAAGAGTTCTCATGTTTCAAAACAAGAGCCGAAAACTTCAATATAATGATTTGACTTAAATTGAATTTAAGCGAAATTTTTTTGTAATCCAAATTTTTTGATTCCAAAAAAATTTCGCTTGAAGATGTAACAGAGCTTACTTTAATTTAATTCAAATAATTATATTGAAGTTTTTGGCTCTTGTTTTGAAACATGAGAACTCTTATGTAGCATGTTGCAATCATATTTTGAGTAAATAATTATATTTATGCTCTACTTTTGTATCGAGCACTATTTTTTTAAAATAATAACAAAAATACTAAAGAACTTTGGATTATTTACCTAACGAGTTCTTTCCTATATATATATATATATATATATATATATATATATATATATATATATATATATATATATATATATATGCAAATTTACCAAATCAGGATAGTAACTACACTCTTGTCTAAATTAATTGAAACAAAACGTATTCGTATTTTTTCAACGAAACGTGACCCAGTGCACATGTTAGTACTTCGTATGTTAATTCCACGAAGTTGTTCTTTGCAGATTGACCACAGATTCTAGATTAGATTTAAATCGGGAGTGTTTCCGGCCCAGTGTATAGTACTTTTATTTGCTCACTGGTAATGCTTCTCAGTGTCTTCGTGCAGTGTTACACATTTTTTGCGCTTTCTAGGAGTAACTTCCATCGCAGACAATGACTGTAGGACAATTAATCGACAGTCGAGAGAACAGTGTCTGAGTGTGATGAAAATCTGATGCGATCACGGATGACGCAATATTTTCCAAGGCCAAACAAATTTCAATATACATCCCCAAAATAGATTCATATTACTGCACACCACTGCAAATGACCTAATCTGAGAAAATATAGAAATCGATTACACTGTCACTCTAGTGACCTAAACCTGACCGTTTTGTGAAAGAAAAGAAACTAAAGCAGATGTTTCAATTAATTTCCACAGAGGTTTATATATTATCTTTTGGTTTTAGGCATTTTTTTAGTCTTTGTATTGCATGAAAAAATTTTTTAAATTATTTAAAAACATAAATAATTGTTCTTATATCCTTTTTTAAGATTTTTTTTAACCTTTAATAACTGATAACGAGAAAATATATATAGATATATGGAACGAGCGGTAAGACTGGGTTTACATTTACTTGTTTTGGCCTTATTTTTGTCATACGGCATTTCTGTAGTCCGGCAGCGGAATGGTTCAAAGAATGCCGGATTAAAGAGATTGTATCATAGTTTCTATAAGATTTTACTGCAGTTATCATTTAAAAGAAGTCTTACCAAAACGAATAGATATTTTATGTTTCTTTTTTTCTTTCGACAGTGCGAATCAATTTTTTGTGAATTTAATTTATGTTAGGATCAAACATTTTTTTATTTTTTTTTTTTTACACAATCTTATAGAAGGTACATATTAATTAAAAACTTTGTCTTAGCGTAAATTTGGAATATTTTTTATGACTCCAATGATGAAAGTACTTATAGATAATGATAGTAAAACCAAGGTGGATACCTATAGATAATGAAGGTGAACACAAAGGTGAATACTTATAAATAATGAAGGTGAAACCAAAAAAGGATACTTATAGATAATGATAGAGAAACCAAATGTAAATACTTATAGATAACGAAGGTGGATGCTTATAGATAATGAAGGTGAAACTCAAAGGTGGATACTTAAAGATAATGAAGGTGAAACCAAAGGGCGATATTTACAGATAATGATAGAGAAACCAAATGTAGATACTTATAGATAATGATGGTGACACCAAAGGTGGATACTTATAGATAATGATGTTGAAACCATTGGTGGATACTGAAAGATAATGATGTTGAAAACCAAAGGTAGATACTTATAGATAATGATGGTGAAACCAAAGTTGGATACTTAAAGATAATGATGCTGTAACCAAAGGTGGATACTTATAGATAATGTTGGTGAAACCAAAGGTGGATACCTATATATAATGAAGATGAAACCAAAGGTGGATACTTAAAGATAATGAATGTGAACCCAAACTTGGATACTTATGGATAATGAAGGTGAAAACAAAGGTGGATGCTTCAAGAACATGATGGTGAAACCAATGGTGGATACATAAAGCTAATGATGGTGAAAACAAAGGTGAATACTTATAGATAATGAAGGTGAAAAAAAAGATAGATACTTATAGATAATGATAGGGAAACCAAATGTAGATACTTATAGATAATGATGGTGACACCAAAGGTGGATACTTAGAGATAATGAAGGTGAAACCCAAAGGTAGATACTTAAAGATAATTAAGGTGAAAAAAAAGGTGGATACATAAAACCAATGATGGTGAAAACAAAAGTGGATACTTAAAGATAATGACGGTGAAAGCAAAGGTGAATACTTATAGATAATGATGGTGAAACCAAATGTGGATATTTAAAGATAATGATGTTGTAATCAAAGGTGGCTACTTAAACATAATGAAGGCGAAATCATAGTTTCATACTTAAATATAATGATGGTGAAAGCAAAGGTGAATACTTATAGATACTGATGGTGAAAACAAAGGTGAATACTTATAGATAATGAAGGTGAAACAAAAGATGGATACTTATAGATAATGATGGAGAAACCAAATATGGATACTTAAACATAATGATGATGAAAACAAAGGTGGATACTTAAAGATAATGATGGTGAAACCAATGATGGATACTTAAAGTTATTGATGGTGAAACCAAAGGTGGATACTTATAGATGATGAAGGTGAAACCGAAAACTGGATACTTACTCTGTTTGCCATTTTTTCTGTGGTTTTTTCTTTATCAAAGCTTGATCGTTTTATGCCAAACATTTTAAAAAATTTCTATAATGAAAAAGAAAGAAAACTATTAAAATTGTTCGATAAATTCGAACCATCAGATCAAGTAGCTCAGTTATCAGCATGTACCATTGCTCCCATACCACAACAATGGTCAGTGGCATCATGTTTGGGCGGAATAATGCCAGCAACCAGAAGAAAAATTACAGCTATTTAAAGAAGCTATCCAATCACTGAAAGGAACTTCTACTTCAACAATAGCTATTAACATGCTAGCCGGACGCCTTTCTCCTAAGCTACTTCCGCGGGTGCACACTGTCTGCAATAAATATCTATTGGTTATTTCCATTACGGCTAATGTCTCAATATGCAAGTAAATGGTGTGGTTTTACATAGTTTTGGCACACGTTATCGTACACTATAGCCTAACTTCATTTACTGGTATGTTTAGGGCCACTGGTAGCCTACCCCATGTTTGGGAGTTAAACTATACGATAGGCATAAGCCTAACTCGTAAATTTGAGCTAAAGATCTTGAGGTCGACTTGTACGCCAGGTCGGCTTGTACGCCGCAATTTACGATATTATATGAATAAAAGGTTTTGTTGTAAAATGTTGTAAACTATTTCCTGAACATTATATATTACCTCTATTCCAAAATTGTTTTTATACTTGCATATATATTTCATACAGTAAAACGTATTATTGGACAAAGCCATTAGAAATTACACGTAGTATTACTTACATCTTTTCGCTTTAGCTTTCCTGAAAAATAAGCAAAACGATAAATTATATATATATATATATATATATATGGAAAAGGTTATAATTGTTACAACGAAAGAAAAATTCATATTTAAAAAAAGAGTGAAACCGCAAACGTTTTTGTCTACAATGTGGATTTGAATTAGTGTATATATTATATTTTCTTTTTTTTATTCTTCTATTTTATATCAAGAAAAATGTGGAGTATGAAGCCATTATCTTCCCCATGGAAATATATAAGCCTTAAAACGGTTTATATTGGAATCTCTGCAGGATGTTGAAAGCAACGTCTGTATAACCAGCGGCATTCCTTCAACAACTTATCCTGAAAACAACAAACAACACTATCTAAACATTATTGGGATCTTGTTGATAATGTCTTCACCTAACAATTGGAGTGGAGGATCACATCTAGGGCTTGAACTCCTAACAATTTAAGAGACAGATGTTATCTTGTATTAAAGATATTTTTTATTCAACTAAAGATAATAACCCGGAAGAATTACTAAATCTTCAAATGCAGACACAAAAATAGGTTCAAAATCTCATCCTTAAAAAATATCTGATATAACACTAACATGTACTAATACACATGGTCACTATATTCATATATGATTTAATGTATATATATCTATATATCTATATATATATATATATATATATATATATATATATATATATATTGTGCCTATGTGTGTATCTATGTGGATATGTATGTATATGATGTATGTGTTTATATATGTGTGTGTATATGCGTAGTTATTTTCTAAGTATAACACAAGGCCGAAAGTATGGGGCAACTAGTGAGTATCGAACTCACTTTTCATTCGTAATGGACCTAGCAAGACAAGGTTGCTAACCATTACACCACACCAAGATGCATATGTGTATGAATATATATATATATATATATGTGTGTGTGTCTGTGTGTGTGTGTGTGCGTGTGTGTGTGTGTGTGTGTGTGTATGCATGTATGTATATATAAATGTATGTATATATATATAAATATATATACACGTGTACATATATGTTTCTATGTGTATAGGTGTATATGTGTGTATATATAGATGAACATATATATATATGTATGTTGTATATATATATATATATATATATATATATATATATATATATATATATATATATATGTATCTGTATGTCTTTATGGGTGTGTATATATGTATATATACATATATATATGTGTGCATGTTGTGTATTTGTCTATATCTATATGTGTTTATTGTATGTATTTAAGCGAATATGGAATGTGTCTATGCATTTATATATATATATATATATATATATATATATATATATATATATATATATATATGGATATGTATATATGTTTGTGTGGATATGTATATATGTTTGTGTTTCTACACAGGTGTGGGTGTATTTGTGTGTGTGTATATATGGACTGTTATATTGTTTGCATAATTAGACATATTCTGTTTATGTTGGAGTTAGTATCATACTATATATGATTAGAAATAGACGATATATATATTTTTTTCTAAATATGGTGCCATATTTATATGGTATTTATGTGTGTTTATATGTTTTTAAATGTATGTAGATTGTTTGGTTTATGTAACTATAGAATTGCATATTTTTCTTCGTAACTTAGATATTTTTGCTTATTTTACATGTATATTATTATTATTATTACGTTTATTTTTATCTGTATTTTTACTCATTTTAAATAATATCTTTATTTATTATAACCTATTTGAAAAACAATTATTTGATGATAAAATCATATATACATATATATATATGAAGATAAAAAGGTGAAAATTTATATATATATATATATATATATATATATATATATATATATATTAATTTTTTTCATTTTTTTCGGTAATATTATTATTACTATTATTATTTTTTTAAAATACCAAAGTTTCAAAATCGTGAATGACTACATGCATTAAGAAGAAAATCTATTCAATTGCACACAGAAGCTTGCTGGTTTCAAGCCGTATCTCTAGTTCCCTTTCTTTCTCTTTCCTTTCCTTCTTTTCCTTCGCTCTATTTTTCTCGTTCCTCTGCCCCCATTTTACTTTCCCATTCTACTTCACTGTGCACAAGAAAACGTATTATAGAAATATAGTCTTAAGATGTGCTATATTTATGGGATAAAGTACTCAATATCAGAGATAGAGCGTGTGTAAATATAAAGTGAACATAGAAGTCAACATTTAGAGGCGACAGTCTGTTTCTGATGATATGCAATAGCATGAAACAGATTGCTGTCGATGTTGACTTCTATGTTCACTTTTATATATATATATATATATATATATATATATTTGGATGGATAGATGTGAGTTTGTGACCCTGGGTTTCAGGCTTTAGCGATCGTCAGACAAACTGATTAATGTTTTAAAAAATTTGGGTTTATGTAGATTGCGTGTATTGGTGTTATTGTAGAAGTGGTGGGGGAAATTTCGTCGTTTTGTCATTCATCGTACTAACGCAAACATCGATATATGCAGACACATATACATACTTGGTCGTCCGTCGGGACTCATACATATATAAACGTATGTGGGCTGTTTCGGCTATGACACATGTATGTATACGGGTGGTGTTATGTCTATACATACGCATTTGTATGTTGAGGGTCACAAACTCACATCTATCCATCCAAATATGTTAGCTCTATCTCTGATATTGAGCGCTTTCTAATAAATACCGCGCATATAATATATAAATAATTATATATATATATATATATATTTATTTATATTTATATACACTTTCACATATATATATATATATATATATATATATATATATATATATATATATATATATATATATAAAAAAGAAGAGAAGAGAGGTGCCGCAAACGTTTTGGTTGTAATGTGGATTTATTTAGAAAAAATATTATGCTTTGTTTTACATAATTTTACTACGACACGTGTTTCTGGTCTCGCGACCGTCTTCAGGTAAAAGTGGAGATTTCTACATATTATTAAAAATAATATTATTAAAAATAATTAATTTTTCTTCATGTTCAATTCTCGATTTGCTTTGTTTTGCTGTTGGCTATTTGAATCCTTTTGTCTTTTTACAGTATATTCTGAGAACTTTCACACACGCGCGCACACAAGCACATACATATATATATGTTTGTGTTTGTGTGTGTGTGTACATTTAGTCAGCATATCTTCATTCAAACATGTTTCATTGAATAATATAGAAAATAGATAAATTGTGTCTACTTATTTTTATACAGATCCTTTCCTGTTCTCTAATCATTTTCTTGCAGTTAAGATGGAATTCATTAAGGGACAAAAAGCCTTCGACTCTATGCGTAGATGAAAAATGATGTTGATTCTCAAAGCATATGGTATTGGACCGAAAATTTACAAAACACCAGAGCAAAAATGATTACGCCTGATGGAGAAACTGTGGATTCTGAAATCAAACCAGGCATGTTTCAAGATCATGCCCCGGCACCATTCCTCTTTATTCATTGTCCTGGATTATGTAATGTGCAAAACATATAATGGCCGAGAAGAAGTCGGTTTTCAACTCGGCGGATGAAAAAAAGTAGAAAACACCAAGTAATCATAGTCGCTGATCTTTGTCATTTATAGCGAATCAATTTCGGTTAATTAAAACGGACGTCCAAAAATATATTAAGTATTGACTCCCCTTCAAAACATTATTCAAAATATTTTTACTCTTTCAGTTATCTTAGGAAAATACATTTTTATCTGAGGGCCCATGTAGATATTGACAAATAAAAAATTGTTATTACCTTCCGGTTCCGGCAATGATAATCTGCGAGGTAGAGCTGTAAAGGAAAAAATAATTAAAGTTAACATAATTAATTGTAACTGTAATTAAAGTATTGGTTTGTACCAATTTTACTCTCGGAAAATAAAGACTGACGCAAGATAGATAGATAGATAGATAGATAGATAGATAGATAGATAGATAGATAGAAATGAACACATTTAGATAAATAGATAGATAGATAGATAGATAGATAGATAGATAGAAATGAACACATTTAGATAGATAGATAGATAGATAGATAGATAGATAGAAATGAACACATAAGCCAAAACGAACTTGATGTCAATATATATATATATATATATATATATATATATATATATAAGCAAGTGTAAATGGATAAAATCCGACAGAATGTAGAAATTTTGAAAAACAAACAAAAATCCATAAATGTAGTTAAAATGAAAAATTGTCGACGTCAGACGTTTCGGTTTTTAATAAACCATTTTCAAGACAAAATTCATTAAAATACAAATTCAGTTCAATTTTAATGAATTTTGTCTTAAAAATGGTTTATCAAAAGTAAAACAGATGACGTCGATCTTTTTTTTTAACTACATTTATGGATTTTGTTTGTTTTTCAAAATTTCTACATATATATATATATATATATATATATATTATATTATATATATACACATATATATATATATATATATATATATACATACATATATATATTATATTATATATATATATATACACACATATATATTTTACAATCAGCACCTAATGATTCCAACGTACATGAAACTCATAGTTGTGAAAAAGTGATAAAAAAATATATATATATATATATATATATATATATATATATATAATATTAATAATTATAACAAAAACATGTTATAAAACCGCTACATAAATACAAATATTTTTCGACACTGTATATATATATATATATATATATATATATATATATATATATATATATATATATATATAAGTGGACATTGAAGTCAAAACCTGACTGTGAAACGCACTCGTTATGGCCTGGCGATTGCATTTAAGCATGAAACAGACTGTCGCTGCTTGGTGTTGACTTCAGTATCCATTTCATTTATATACGCTCTATTCTTGATATTGAGCACTTTAACCCACAAATAGCATACGATAAAACTATATTTTATCATTACATATATATGTGTGTGTGTGTGTGTGTGAAAATATATAGAAAATAGGAAAGAACTGGTTAGGTAAATAATCCAAAGTTCCTTAGTATTTTAGTTATTATTTTTAAAAAATAGTGCTCGATACAAAAGTAGAGCATAAATATAATTATTTATTTAAAAATATAATTATTTACTTAAAAAAATATAATTATTTTTAAATAAATAATTATATATATATATATGTTACAAACATTGTGTCTACTCATTTTTAGCATAATTCGTTGATATTCACAGTTATTTTTTCTGTGTTTTACAATCAAATGATGGAAGAAATGAACTGTAACAGTGAAAATGTGTTTTATTTCCCAAGCAATTTTTCTCTCCAAACCAAACACGGATAACTATTTACAATTAAGTGGTCACCCATCTAGGTACCCGCCATTTCCGACGATGCTTAACTTTAGTCATCGTGCAAGAGGCTGTGTTTTAACTGTAATCCCCATCTGCTACAAAATAAATCACAGGTGTTTAATAATTTTAAGTCCTATGCTGGGAGATTTCAATTAATAATCTGAAGAAAAAAATTGAATTTAAGCACAAATACTAATTAATACCGGACAATTTTAGAAAAGAAGTCAGGCAAAGAACTTTTTCGTATAAATGTCACGGACAGATTAACTATCATTCCTTACGTAATGTTATGATGATAATTATTCACGATAATTAACCAGCATATTTAAAATGTCAAAAGAAAGCCGTGAAAACGTTTGCTTTCCCTTTGTGAAAACGTCTGGATAGATATTACTTAACATGAGAAGCAACCTACTACATCAAGCAAAAATCATATGTGGCGACCTAGAGACATATGAATAAGAAATGGTCAGCATAAGCGATACCCGATAACTTAACGACTACCCTGGGTATATGGCCACAGATTCTGATATAGAAGAGTGCAAGATGACAACACTCAAAAACTTATTATCTCCAACCTCTTTCTCACAGGCGGGATGTGGCGAGT